CAACTCCAAACATTTCAGCAAATCCTCCTGCGGTTTCCCTGAGACACTGAGAGATGCTGTCCATGGAGCTGAGAGCGGAGGGTTTGCAGGAGCCCCACCTTGGTGGCACGTGCTATTGGCTTCACTTTCCTGGAGATTTCAGGGCATGAGGGACACCCCCACCTACAGAAGCAGGCCGATTCATTCCTCTGAATTTCCGATCACTAGATGGGAGCTAGATGAAATTAAAAGACGCTTACTCCTTGGAAGGAAAGTTATGACTAACCTAGACAGCATATTAAAAAGCAGAGACATTACTTTGCCAACAAAGGTCCATCTAGTCAAGGCTGTGGTTTTTCCAATAGTCGTGTATGGATGTGAGTTGTACTATAAAGAAAGCTGAGCACTGAAAAATTGATGCTTTTGAACTGTGTTGTTGGAGAAGACTCTTGAGAGTCCCTTGGACAGCAAGGAAATCCAATCAGTCCATCCTCAAGGAAATCATCCCTGGGTGTTCATTGGAAGGACTGATGTTGAAGCTGAAACTCCAATATTTTGGTGACCTGATGCGAAGAGCTGACTCATTTGAAAAGACCCTGATGTCGGGAAAGGTTGAAGACAGGAGGAGAAGGAGACGACAGAGGATGAGATGGTAGGATGGCATCAGCGACTCAATGGATATGAGTTTGGGTAAACTCCGGGAGTTGGTGATGGGCCGGGAGGCCTGGTGTGCTGTGTTTCATGGGGTCGCAAAGAGTCGGACACGACTGAGCGACTGAACTGAACTGAATTGAGATGGTAGCTAGAAAGACACCTTATGGAACAGAACAGACTGGTGCCTTCAGAGTACATGTGACATTACAAACTCATGAACAAGGGTAAGAGGGAAGTCATCTACTGAGGGGAAAGGAAAACAAAACCTTTGCATTATTAGAATTCCCAAAGTAAAGAAAGTTGTTACGGAATCATATTTTAAAAGCCTTCAGGGCACTTCCCTGGTGGTCCAATGGTTAAGAATCTGCCTTCCAGTGGAAAGAACACAGGTTTGACCCCTGGTCAGGGAATTAAAATCCCACATGTCAAGGAGCAACTAAGTCCAAGTGCCACAACTACTGAGCTCTCAGGCCTCAACTGGAGAGTCTTTGTGCTTCCAGGAAATAGCCACACAACACAGCGAAGACCTGAGTACCACAGCTAAGACCCAACGCTGCCAAATAAATAAATACTGTTTAAAGAAGGAAATCAGCCTTGGGAATTCCTGGTGATCCAGTGATTAGGACTCTGTCCTTCCACTGTAGGGGGCACGGGTTCCATTCCTTGTCTGGAAAAGATTTAGCATGCTGAGATGTGGCAAAAGAAAAGTCAGACTAGAAGAGCTGATTCTTAAAGAGAGAATTGTTTATTATCAATGAATATTTGAGAAGACGTCCAATCTTTCTGATAGTAAAAATAATTTTTTAAAAAAGTATCTCTGTGTGTGTGTGTTCTATGTATTGGTCAGTTAGGATTTGGCTGCAGATATCAAGAGTCACTTCAGCTAACTGAAGCAGAATGGGTTTTTGCACAAGGAGTTCCATGCCTATAAAAGCACCCCAGGATTGGAGAAGATCCAAGGCTGAGGCTGGAATGAACTTCCCATCCTCTAGAGGAGCATTGAAGGACTGGGCCACCAAGGATTCTGGGACTGCTGCTTTGATCAGGAACCAGAGATACTGGGAAGCCACTCTGGGACCAAATTGCTTTGTATGTTACGTCTGCAGATAAAACAATGCATCTCAGGTGAGAGCTGGATTCTGACTCCACTGCTGCTGCAGGAGACCTAGTCCTCACTACTGTGCTTGGCAGCAAAGCAGCAGCCCTGTCTCCCTGCCTGACGCAAGATCCAGTGCCTTTGCAGAGCTGGTGTCGCCAGAGAATCTGGGGAATATGGTCATTACTTTCTGTCCTTGGGGGTTCACAGCAGGGGATGAAGCAGAACTGAGTGAGGACAACCTCCACAGCTGCTCCAGAGAAAGTAAATAAAAACATCCAGTGTTTGCACGGGGCAAGGAAAGGTGAATGCTCATGCCTTGCTGGGTGGGATGTGTTCTGATACACAGGTCACAACTGGCATACAGAAATGTGTAATAACAGGTTTCACTCCACTTGATTCAGAAATACTATTTCCGGGAATTAATTGTAAGAAAACAATCAGCTATGCACACTAAAATATCTGTACATGATTGATTATCACAGTGTTATTCAGGACAGCAAACCTTTAAAACAAGAGGAAATCAAGGACACATAATTTTATGCCCCCGCATAACAGACATCTATGTGGTCACTGATGATAGTGTCCAAGACCAGTTTACCATTAAGTGAAAGAAGCCTGTGAGTGTTGGACAATAAAGAAAGCTGAGCGCCGAAGAATTGATGCTTTTGAACTGTGGTGTTGAAGAAGACTCTTGAGAGTCCCTTGGACTGCAAGGAGATCCAGTCAGTCCATCCTAAAGGAAATCAGTCCTGAATATTCATTGGAAGGACTGATGCTGAAGCTGAAACTCCAATACTCTGGCCACCTGATGGGAAGCACTGACTCATTGGAAAAGACCCTGACACTGGGAAAGATTGAAAGCAGGAGGAGAAGGAGACGACAGAGGATGAGATGGTAGGATGGCATCACCAACTCAATGGACATGAGTCTGAGTCAACTCCAGGAGTTGGTGACGGATAGGGAGGCCTGGCGTGCTGCAGTCCATGGGGTTGCAAAGAGTTAGACACAATGAGTGACTGAACTGAACTGAACTGAACTGAAAGAAGCCTGAGCTCAGGGACCCTCACTTGCACTGGTTCTGTCCAGGAGAATTCCCGAGAACAATTCTGCAGTGTGCTAGCATTGCTGTCATTACTATTTGCTAAAGTATGATTCTAAGAGTAACTGGTTAAAACTGCAGACTGTTTCCAAACTGTCTTTACTGTCCCACCTTCCCTTGTTTCTGAATGACATTTTAGTGTTACTGGCATTTTAGATTATAATTCTCCATTATATTTTTTAGAGTTTTCTCTCCCCAATGACTTAAATCTCAAGCCCCTAAAACCTAGATCTGTCCTTGGTTATAGATTTATATTTGTCAATAGGGGGAATTGTTCCTTAGGTATTGTTAAGACGGAATTTGACCATGCAGTAGTAAGGCAAGACAACGTTTGGTGTTTTAACACGTACACGTGCTTTTCTTTTGTTTGTTTGTTTTTGTGGTAAGAGTCACATAAAGTCAAACATGCTATTTTAATTGCATTTAACTGCATGTACATATTTTTTTCATTATTTAGTCTATTTATTTTTGGCTGTGCTGAGTTTCATTGCTGTGAAGGCTTTCTCTGGTGTTCAGGCTTCCCACTGTGGTGGTTTTTCTTGTCTCAGACCATGGGTTCTAGGGCACATGAGTTCAGTAGTTGAGGCTTGGGGGCTCAGTTGCCCCGGGCATGTGGGATCTTAGTTGCCTGACCAGGAATCGACCAATTCCCTGACCGATGTCTCCTGCATTGGAAGGTGGATTCTTACACACTGGACCACCAGGGAAGTCCCTCTCCTGTGTTTTTAATGTATGGTACTTGGAGCAACTTTGGAAGTCTGGGCAAAACTCTAGGTAACTTACGATGTCGCAGACATAAATTACTTTTACCATCTGAGTGAGAAAACAGACTTTCTCAGTACCATGGCCACTCAGACCACTTTGGATGTCAGACGTGTGGATTTCCTTACAAGAAACTCCAGTTGTCTATGGATAGCAGCTGGGTGTCCTGCAATTTAACGTGATTCTGACATTAACTAGAGTTAACCCCACGGGTTAAGGGCTCAAACCCACAAGATTGCCCCACTTAGTGGCTCAGATGGTAAAGAATCTGCCTGCAGTGTGGGAGACCCAGTTTCCATCTCTGGGTTGGGAAGATCCACTGAAGAAAGGAATGGCAACCTACTCCAGTATTCTTGCCTGGACAATTGCGTGGACAGAGGAGTCTTGCCAGCTACAGTCCATGGGACCGCAAATAGTCGGACACGACTTATTGAATGACACTTTCACTTTTGGTGAAAATAGAGTGGAAACAGACCTGGCTTCCTGTCGTGGATATCGGTGCCCATTCTTAGAGTTCTTGGCCCATATCCTATCACCAGTGGCCCTACAGATGCCCTACATCCTGTCTGATAAGTAAGAACCCAGTAGGGACACTCATGAAAGGTCACAGCATCTTGTTTTTATTTCTTTTTTTGTTGTTATTGTTGTTTTTGTTGTTTTTATTTCTTATGATTCTTTGAAGAATTTTGGGAGGAAGAGGGCTTGTCACCTGGGGGACTGACATCCTGAGGCCCTGGACGGTCATCTCCAGCACGGGAACCGCTCTCTTCTTCAGTACTGGATCTCGGGGAAGGAGAGACCTTCTTTATTAAGCCCCACAGCTTCGCCCCACATGCTGACCCAGCAGAGCCCAGGAGGATGTTGGATGATGTGGAGAGTCCAGCTGCCCCTGGGGGAGAGGAGGATGTTAGAGCACAGGCAGACAGGCAGGCCCAGCAGCCCCTGGCAGGGCCATGGGGGTCAGAAATCCCAGGACCGTCTGCAGGCCCAAGAAATGGACATCCCACCTTGGTTGCCTGCTCTACTTCCTGAAACCCCAGGACGTCTGCGGGGGGAGGGGCGGCTGCACACGGCTGCCCAAAGAGGAGACATGAACTCTGATGGTCAGTCCATCAGTGGCAGGACAGACCCCCTGAGAAAAGACAGGCTGCCCCTCCCTCCACTGCACTCGGCTGGGCCCAGGGAGGGGAGAGGAACTACGTAGGTTACATAGGGTTGATGAGGAATGCCGGCCTCCTGGGCTGCACACCCCTCCTCCCATCACCCATAACCCCAAACAGATGTGGGGACAGTGAGGGGGACACAAAGGTCCAGGGACGCTGATGACCATGAAGCTGGAAGAAGCAGAGGGGCCCACCTCCTCCCGCCCAGACACTTACCCACGGACTGGAGAGTGGCCACCAGGCTTCAGGCGGCACCTCTGCCTCCATTGGCCATGGCGGCCGCTGACATCATCGTGGCCACGATGGAGGAGGCAGCGATTCCAGCCCCGGTGACGCCCATGGCGCCCAGCACCACGGGAACAGACCCCACGGCCAGGGCTGCAGGGAGAAAGGAGCTTTGGGTTTGGCCCCATGGGACCGAGTCCCTAGATCTCCCTGACACCCTCCTGTGACATGAGGTGAGGGGTCCACTCTGCTCTCCTGAGAACCTCGGCGTCCAAGACAAGGGAAGGCCGTAGATGTGGACACAAGTGGGTGGGGGACCCCTCCAGAAACCTGAATCCCAGGCCTGTTTGTACCTCATTTTAGCTGTGTTCCTGGGAACCTCAGCAGTCCTCCCTGGGCTTTAGTTCGCCCTTTATGAAATAAAGTTGAAACAAGTAGGGGTCTTCAAACGCCCCCTTTTGATGGGGAAACTGGTGTCTTTCACACAGGCACAGGCCCACAGTACGAGGACAGAACTGCTCTTCTGAAAAGGTGCTGGGTGGAGCTTCTGACCTCTGGCCCGGGGCCGCTGGTGAGCACCCCCCAGGGTCCCTACATCTCAGATGGTGCAGGCATAGACCCTTCTGCCACCAGAAACCTTCTATGTCTACAACATCCACATGGTGGACACATGTGGCACTGAGCACTTGAGACTGGCTGGTGTGACAGAAATGTTTGATTTCCTTTGATTCTGGCCACCATGAATGACCCTCACCAGTGGATGACCCTAACTGGACTCACTGGATGAGCTCCAAGGATTACAGAGCAGTTCTGAGAAATCCACACAGCTCAGCTCACACATTTCCTACAGGCTTTTGCAAGATAACCGTGCCCCGGCTTTCTGGGGAGAAATCACGGATTCAGACAACTCTAGCAACTCAACCTGGGTTCCCGCAGCTTGCACTCGGGAGAAGCTGAGATTGGAAGTGGGTGCTGTGAATGGCTTTTCTTTGGTTCCTTCTTGGCAAGGTTCTTATTACCGCAAGAATTCCACCTCTGACACCTTCCACCCCACCCCTACCCACCCAGGTCTTGAGGCTCAAGGCAATCTTGGACTCAGTCAAGGCCAGACTCTCCCAGGAGCCCAGGGACAGTGGCAGATGCAGCTTGAGTTGCTTTACAAAGAGACTCACCTCCTCCGACCACGGCTGCGGCAGTCTTGCCTGGAGAAAGAAAGAACCCCTGTGAATGCCCAGCACTGGCCTTCCCCTGCATCTCTGCTACTGTCCCAGTGGGAAAGGTTCCCTGGAGTTGGGATCATAGGAGACAGCAGCCCCTGTGTGGCTTTCTGCTTTTACGTAGTAGTCTGATAGTCAGGGAATCAGAGGAGGATGGACAAGAGCCCAGAGCTCTGTGATGCTCCAGAGGGGGTAGAGGAACCTGCCTTGAAACGGGTTCATACTGTTCCTTAATTTCAATATCTTCTGTATCATTTTCTCAACAAGAAAAAAAAGAAATCAGAAAAGCATGCTGATTTTATTTGCAATCAAATAAATTTGACTGTTTTGGTTTGTTCATCTTTCAGACACCCTATGTCCTTCCGAGGATATAGCTTAAGTGGGAGCACCCCGTCCTCCAGGGCTCAGCCTACTTGTGACTTTCTGCACAAAGCATCCCTGATTCCCCCATCAGGAAATGTGTGTGCTGCCTTCTGACTGGAGCCCCTGGCCACACTGGATTCCGGCATGCCTGTACCATACTGAATTGCTCAGAGCTCTTGGGTCTGGCAGGGATACCTGACAGCAGCAGGGACTGGGATGTTTGGGCAGTAGGGACCAGGTGTTCCGGAGACTTCAGGAGCTGTGGGAGTGAGCTCAGCCAACTCCCCAGATAGAGAAGCCTTGATACCAGGCAAGGAGGAAAAGGTACAAAATCAGCCTCCGGCCCCCAGCCATTTCTGGAAGGCTGTAGCTCCTGGCTCACCAACGCCTCTCTCTCCATCAGGAGCCTTGATTTGTCTTGAGGGCTTCCATTTCCGCACAGATGAAATTTCTAACAACCTGGTCTTTCAGTTCTCACCTCCCTACTTCTAAGGATCTTAGACTCTAGGCCACACACACCCAAGGTCATACCCTATACCTATGCTGCCCACTATGGGAACCACTAACTATGTGAGCTACTTAAATCTTGAAAGTGAAAGTTGCTCAGTCCTGTCTGACTCCTTGTGATCCCATGGACTATACAGTCCATGGAATTCTTCAGGCCAAAATACAGGAGTGGGTAGCCTTTCCCTTCTCCAGGGGCTCTTCCAACCCAGGGATCGAACCCAGGTTTCCCGCATTGCAGGCAGATTCTTTACCAGCTGAGCCACAGTGAATTACAATGAAATAAGCATTACAACTCCATTTCTCGGTCACATGATCCAGTGCTCATTAGTCACACATGGCTAGTGGCTACTGTTTTGGATCACACAAAGAACATGGTCATCACTGCAGAAAGCTCTATTGGATAGTGGGGCCCTAGACCTTGACACTAGCAAGCATTGCCTTCTCCCTGTGATCAACTTCAGCACCCCTCTAGATACTCCCAGCTCCTCCTTTCACAGATTCTGACTCCAATACAGCCTTCAAGAGTTCCTCAACCACAATGAGATTTTTGATCTCTGTCCAGACACAACTTGGAGATACGAGGGATTCGGTTCCAGGTTACTGCAATAAAGCAATTATCAGATGATTTTTTGGTTCCAAATTGCATATAAAAGTTATGTTCATAATATGCTGGAGTCTACTAAGTGCACAATAACCTTATGTATTAAAAAAATGTGTATATCTTAAGTTAAAAATACTTTATTGCTAAAAATATAAACCAACTCTGCCAACTCTTGGTTGCTACAAGCCTTCAACTTGTTTCAAAAAAAAAAAAAAGAGCATCTGCAAACTCCAATAAAATGAGATTTGCCCACCTTAGTTTCCTGAGGCTGCAGTAACTAATGACCACAAGCTCTGTTGATTCTCTCATGTTCTCACAGTTCTGGAGGTTAGAGGTGTAGCAGAGCCAGGCTCTCCCTGAAGGCTCTGGGGGAGGATCTTTCCTTGCCTTTGGAACATCACTGTCTAGTGCTTGCTGACAACTCCTGGCTTGTGGCTGCCTCGTTCCGATCTCTCTGACTCCACCACTGCTGCCCTAGTGGGCATCACCTCTCCTTGTCCAGGATCAGAGATGGGAGAAACACACAGAATGAGACACATCTGCTGGCCGCTGGGTACAGAGAAGAGTGAAGGTGTTGGGGTCCCTTCTTGCCCCCTGTGCCCACAGGTGAAAGTTCACTTCTCTAGTGAGGATGAGGAGGCTCTCATTGATCTGGCTTCTGCTTCTATCCTGGGGAAAGAAAAGAAGCCATGCCCAGTCTTCAGCATTCAGTCTTTTGCCTGACAAATCCAGGAACATCTTCCAGGACTCTGCCACACGTTCCCAATGCTCCTGAGCCACCTCCACCTAAAGACTCAATGTGAGTCTACTGTGCTCCTGCTGCCACAGAATTTTCCACAAGGCAGTATGATTCTCTATCATTTCTGCTTCTTGAGGGTTTTAAAGTCAATTGTAAATCCTCCTTCACTGCCATCTCCCAACATGACAACTACTGGTTTGGGACCAAGGAAGCTCTGAAGGAGAATTTCAGAAAAAGAAGTATGAATGAAGCGTATCTTTGCATGTAAAGTCATGTTATGATCTGAATGCTTGTGTTCCCATAAATTCACATTCTGAAACCTAATACCCCATGTGATGGTGTTAGGAGGGTTGCTTCTGGGAGGTGATTTGATCTTGAAGGCAGAGCCCTCTTGACTGACATGATTTTCCTTATGAAAGAGACCCCTCCACCCCATCCTCATGCCAGTTCCTTTCTTCCTCCCACCATAGAAGCTTACAGGGTTGGCTGTCTAGGAAGTGAGCTCTCACAACACAGAGTCTACCGGTGTCTTGATCTGTGACTTCCTAGGCTAGATAAATGTGAGAAATAAATTCCTGTTTTTTTAAAGACACCTGGGTTGTGGCATTTTGTTATAGCAGCCATAATGGTCTACAACAACACACAATCCACAGAGTGGAAAGGCAACTTACAGAATGGGAGAAAAACTTGGCAAATCATGTATCTAGTAAGGGACTAATATTCAAGGTATGGTAGAAAGAATTCCTATGACAAAACTCAGAGAACTCAGTTTAAGATTGGGCAAAGAATTCAAATAGGCAATTTCCTAAAGAGATACAAATGGCTAACAAGCATTTGGAAAGATGCTCAAATTCAGTCATCATTAGGGAAATGTAAATCAAAACCATGAGATACCACTTCACGTCCATCAGGATAGCTACTATTTAAAAAACCAAAAAAACCTAAAATAACAAGCCTTGGTTAGAATGTGGAGGAGCTGGCACTCTTTTGCACTGTTGGTAGGAATGTAAAATGGTGCAAGAGCTATGGAAAACACTATGGCAGTTCCTGAAAACATTAACATAGAAAATCATATGATCCAGCAGCAATCCAATTTCTGGATATTGATTTAAAGAAATTGACAACAGGCTCTGGAAGAGATATTTGCATTGCATGTTCATAGCAGCATTTTTCACAGTTGTCAAGAAGTGGAAGCAATCTAAGTGTCCATCGATGGATAAATGGGTCTTCACCACGTGGTAGAGACACACAAGGGAAGCTCATTCTGCATTAAAGAGGAAACTATGACATATGGGTGAACCTAGGGAAACTTACGCTAAGTAAAATAAGCCAGTCAGAATAATAAAAATACTGTATGATTCAGCTGACATGGAAATGAGATTACCTTACTCAAATTTTAGAAATAGAAAGAATTGTGGTTTCCCAGAGCTGGGAGCAGGAGGAAACAGATAGTTAATGTTTAATGTGTACAGAGTTTCTGTTTCAGGAAATGAAAAGAATTCTATGGATCAGGTACACAACAATGCAAATGTACTTAACACTATTCAACCTACACTGACAAACTGTCATCTTGGCAAATTAAATTCTATAGTGTACGATCACCTGATTTAAGAAAAAACAAACATGTACCTTTGGTACCCTGGCCCAAGGCTGGCCCCACATTAGAGGTGACACTGCTCTCGGAGGGTGTGTGCTGGGAGGACATTAGTGACCAGGCCCTGGGGCATCAGGGGAGGAGTGCAAACAGGGAAATGAAACTTACCTGCCTTGGGTGCTGTGGGGCCACAGGGCAGGCATGGGCAGTGGACTTTCATCTGCAGGAGCCGGGCCTGAGACTGTGCCTGCCAGTTGTCAGGCATCTAACCTGAGCAGCACCTCTGCCCCACCTAACTGGAGGTGAGCTGGTTCTGAGAGGCCCGTAAGAGTGAGCTCATCCCACCCCTGTGCTTAAAAACAAACCTATGAAGGCCCAGAGAGGGCAAGTGACTGGCCCTGGGTCACTCAGCAAGTCAGAGGCAGAGCTAAACCCTGAAATGTGGTCCCTCTGATTCTAGAGCATCATTTATTTCATCTCCTGTGTACACTGTGACTTTTTTCTGACTGTGTGTCAGAGACATTCCATCAGGGAGACTGTCCTGACACTGACAACTTAGCAGGTTGAGTCGAGCAGTGGGTGTGGGGTGAGGATCTGTGGACTGGTGCTCAGAGACCCGTTACCTGCATAATGGTAGAAATTGCTGCCTTTCGACTTGGGTGGATCTCTGGGGTCAGAGCCAGAGCCATCTGGTCCCTGATGAGGCCCCTGATGTGGCCCCTGTGGTGTCTTCCCAGGAGAAGAACCGTCAGAAGCCTGGTTGGTTGACTGGGAAGGTTCTTCTTCCTCTGGAAGAAAGAAATAACAGGGGAGCACACAGCGGGGCAGGCAGCTGTGGGACCAGACCCCACACAGCACCCTCCACCCTTTCCTGAAGCTCCCAGGATCTCTGATGGAGGGAGGGGACCTCAGACGAAGCTGAGCTGAGAGGTGTCAAGGGTGCTTGGAGGTGAACCAGGGAGAAGACAGAGAGAGAGAGGCCCAGCACCAATGGAGAGCTGGGGGGTCCTGACTGCACAGAGCAGGAGGCTGAGGACCAGGGGGGAAGAGACTTGATGGGCCCAGAGCACCAGGGGTGCTCACCAGGGGTGGCAGCACCAGGACAGAACCCAGACCCCCTCTGCCCATGTCCAGGAACCGCAAGCTCTGGGCCACCCCACCCTCGGGAGCTTTCCCAAGGGCACTCACCTTCCGACAGCAATTCCGGCAGGAGGGCGTCCAAAGCACCGCCTTCCCCGCTCTCTATGGCTTTAGCTGACATCCTGGAGGCTGTGTGGGAATACTAGTTGTGGAGCCAAGGACACCACTGCCTTTCTGAGAAACAGAGTGTGAAGTTAAAACTGCTCTGCTTGATTTAGGGCTTCCCTGATAGCTCAGTTGGTAAAGAATCTGCCTGCAGTGCAGGACACCTGGGTTCAATCCCTGGGTCAGGAAAATCCCCTGGAGAAGGGAAAGGCTAGCCATTCCAGTATTCTGGCCTGGAGAGTTTCATGGACTGTATAGTCCATGGGGTCTTAGAGACTTGGACATGACTGAGCGACTTGCACTTTCATTGCCTGATTTAGGCTGCACCTAGGTTTCAGGGGGGCATCTCTCTGTTTTTCCAGCCCTGCCCTCTGTCCCACTGAAGCCTGTGAGTCACTTCCAGCCCACCCCCTAATCTGCTCAGACCACAGTTTTGAAGTTAATAATGACTTTGCTTGGCTCCCTGATCGCCAGAGTCCTGGCCACCTCTAATACCCATCTCTGTCCCCTGCTCACTGCCCACTTAGTTGAAGTCTTAGGGCTTCATAGTAACCCGGGTCAAGACAAGACCAGAGGTTCCCAACATCTCATGGTAAATGTGGGCTCAAGCCCCCTCCCCACACTCCGCTCTGGTCACAGGGACAGCAGTCCTGATGGAAGTGGAGAGGGAGGCTAAGAGTGGAGGCTCCCTCCCCTCCCCACCTCCCAGGCCCCTTCTTACCCTGCTTAGTAGGTGTTGGGGATCGAAGAGTATTGTGTGAAGCCCTGCACATAGTGAGGCTGTTGAGAACTCCAGCCAGCTAAATAGTCCCTCCCTGGGTGACGTCTGACCCCAAGAGTCCAAGGAGGAGGTGAGTCACCCTCATCCCAGGCTTGGTGCCAGGGAGACCTCACCTTTGCATGCTAATGGGAGGACACGGGGCGGGCCTTCTGAAGGAGCATTGCTTTCCCTCTCAGATTCCCCTTCTTGGATATGTGAGGAATCCCTAATCCTCCGTTTTATAAAACCACCTGCAATTCTTGTGAATTTTCTTTTCCCTGCCCTCCACGATGTGCAGGTTTACGGTACAAAACATTTTCCCTTGGCTGACAAGTGGCACAGAGCTGTAATCTTATATCTGTAACAACTGATGCGGGTTGATGGTCAAGAGCACCATCTCTGACCAGTGCCTGGGGAGGAATCCTTAGTTGCAGCTAAGGGAGTGAATTCCCGTTGATGTGCCTTAGTTTGCTGACACAGTGGCATTCACAGAATTGTAGTATTGCTACATTTACTTCTTTTTGTCCCTTGAAGTGTTAGTCGCTCTGTCGTGCCGACTCTTTGTGATCCCAAGACTGTAGCCTGCCAGGCTCCTCAGTCCTTGGGGATTCTCCAGGTAAGATTACTGGAGTGGGTTGCCGTGCCCTCCTCCAGCAGATCTTCCTGACCCAGGGATTGAACCCAGGACTCCTGCATTACAGGCAGATTCTTTACCACCTGAGGCACCAGGGAAGCCCTTCTGTCCCTTATCCCTGATAGAATAAATCTTATGAATACCATAAATTTGTCTGTCTTCTTCTGAGTCTAGAGCTCAATAAATGTTTTGAATGGTAGAACAAAGAAGAGGAAAGTGAGAATGTCAGTGTGAAGCTGGGTCAGGGAACAAGGGTCAGAAAATGGAGGAAAGTGCAGAATCGGTGTTGGAAGAGGCCTCTGCTTGGGACAGGCTTGAGTGTCCTGGGAATGGAGGCCTTGTCCCTCCTGCAAGATGAAGACAGGAGGGACCAGGGCCAGGGCCCTGCCTTTCCCCCACCCCCACCTCTGCTTAAGCTTTGGGACAACAAAGCCAAACATTTCAGCAAAAGCTGCTCCAGTTTCGGTGAGCCACTGCGGGACGCTGTCCATGGGGCCAAGAGCAGAGAGGCTGCAGGAGCCCCTCCTTGGCGTCACTTGGTGTTGACTCTACTTTCCTGGCAGAACTCAGGACACAAGGAACATCCTCCACCTGGAGAAGCAGGCCGATTGGTTTCTCTGAAATTCCTGTCACTAGAAGATAGCTAGACAGACAGCCTATGAAACAGAAAAGACTGGTATCATCCGACCACAGGTCACATTAAAACACCATCCATCCCTGTCTCTTTGATCTAATGGCTGTGGTGGTCACTCTGGGTCACGGTCTGGGACCCGGTCCCATCTGGGATGCCGGAGGAGCTTGAGAACTGACTGGATTCTGGATGCCTGGCTCCTTCATGATGATACCTGGACAGGGCTTGGGGACCAGGCCCTGAGGGCACCGCCAGCTGAGATCTGCCTCCTCAGCCAGGTCTGGGCACTGTGGGAGGACCCCGATTGGGTGCTTGACCTGGGCAGGGTAACCCACCCCCTCATGGACCCTCTCCTCTTAGGCAGGGCCTGAGCCTTAGAGGGCAAAAGTTGCACCTTGGGACCTTGCTCTTCCTGCTTCCTTGGCAGGACTGAGAATAATCTTTGTTTGGTGGAGATTTACAGGAGCATAGTGCCCTGACTGGAACCTGACCTCTAGAACAAGGGATCTGACATCAGGAAGGTTACAATAACTAACCACGCCCCTCCCTCATTTTTCCTAGGAAAGGGCTTTACTGAAAGCTTCCAGATTTCTGGATTTTTAAGCCATGAGCCACCTGTCTCCTTCCTGGCCCTGCAAAAAACAGTCCTCTGCACCAAACTGACATTTTGATATTGTTTAGCCCCACTGTTTGCTGGGCACACGGACATACATTCAGTTACATGACCTCTTCCTTGGGTTCTATAATTTACCAAAAGGCTCACAGAACTTAGGAAAGCACTTTCCTTACTATTACTGATACACTGCAAAGAGTATTAAAAGATGCAAGTCAACAGCCAGATGGAAAGATACCTACGATGAGGTTAGAGCATAGGAATTGTGGTCCCTTGAGCACAGGAGTTGTGGTCCTTGGTCCACAGGAGTTGTGGAGTCTGGGGTGCATCACCCTCCCAGAGTGCCGATGTGTTATTGTTTACCAATTGGCAAGTTCTCAGAGCTCCATATTTTAGGAATGTTTATGCAGGGTCCATCGTGTAGGTGTGATGGAATATTAGCTTCATCTTTATCCCTCTCCTAACCATGTAGGACTGGAGGATGGGGCTGATAATTACTTGGTCTTTCTGGTGACCAGCCCCCATCCAGGAGCCCAGCTAGAATCACCCCCATTAGAACAAAGGACATTTTTGTCACTCACTCAGGAAACTCCAAGGAATATAGGAATTCTGTGTAAGATGTACCTATCACTAGGAAAGTACAAGGTTTTAGGGGTTCTGTGTTAGGGATTAGGGTCAAATACCAATATATATATATACTTTTTTTTCCTTTTTATTTCACATCATCATAATATTCCATATTATTTCAAATCACATTCTGCTAAAAGAAAATGCCAAAATTATTTCTCTTTAAGAAAGAATATCAAATTAATTATTTTAGTAATCAGAATTAGGTGCAGGTTAAATACTTTGTGATAAGAATATATGGGTGATGTAGTTTCTTTACTTGTTAAACATTCAAATAATGATGGATTTAAAGGAAGTTGCCAAATTCACACAGAGACGTTCTGGGGATCCTTCACCCAGTTAACTGCATTGCTTATATATTATGTAATGATAGTACAAGCTAAAAGCTAGGGAACTGACATTGGTAGAAAGTGTGTTTATAATGCTATGTCATTTTACTACATGTGTAACCATTATTGCTTCAAGATACAGAACTATTTCATCACCACAAAGATCTCCCTTTAGACCCACACACTGAACCTCTAACTATCTCTCTGGCTTAACTTTCCTCATCCCTTGAAACCACTAATCTGTTTTATATCTCTATGATTATGTCATTTTAAGAATGTTAAATGATGTTTTGTGATGGGCTTTTTAAATTCAACATAATGCAGTTTAGATCCACTGAAGTTGTGTGTATGAATAGCTCGTTCCTTTCTATTGTTGAGTAGTATTCCATGATATAGATCCATAGAGTTTTTTCCCCCAGTTTTATTGAGACATAATTGATATATACCATTGTGTAAGTTATACTGTGCAATGTGATTTAGTACATGTATATATTGCAAAAAGATTACTGTACACTGCCATTTGTTTAGCCATTCATCTATCTTGGTTGTTTCCGGTTTTCAGCTACTAAAAGTAAATCTGCTATGAACTATCAACAAATGGCACCTGACCAGGTCAGTACTCTTTGTAACTTTTGGTACCAGGTTCAACTACAAAAGTGGAGGTGAAGAGCCTGTTCTCAGCTAGGGTCAACTGCTTACTCATTCATTCATTCAACAAGTATCTATGACTCACAGAGTCAGTCAGGCACTGATTAGGCATTTTGGGGGGATGCCAAGATAAATCTGATGGGATTTCCTGAGGAGTTTGCAGTCTAGGAGGAAGACAAGAAAAATAAATCTCCTTCTCTAATACACAGTTGCAAGTGCTATTCAGCGCAGCAAAAGCTCTGGGAATCCTGAAGAAGCAGATGTTGAGATAAATTCATAGCCTGAATTATACTTTATTCAACTGTGGTTACATGTTTGAAACAACATTCTGCAAGGAAGTGATTTCAAATTTCAAGCCAATTCAATCTCAACGCTTTCATACTTCGAACTACGTATTGAGCTAAGGGTCACAAAGCTGATTTTGAGACAACTTCCTTGCCAGGTCTAAGATTCTCCAGGCAACCTACTTTGCAGAGTGAGGAAATTTGGCAGCTATTGTTTTCTTCTCAGTTTGAAACCAACTCAGAAAGAATCCCACTTCAACATTGTATCCATAATAATCAGGAAAGTTTTATTATGAAAAAATTATGCATAAATAAAAACAACACTTAGTCTGATGTCAGAATTTCCATCTCATGTGTCATTCATAACTTCTCCCATTTCCCCAGCTTAGATCCGATTCAGGCTCCCACATGGAGAGGTTTCAGAAGGGGAAGGGAAATAGAATCTGCTCCTCACCTCTCTTTCCTCTACTTCTTCCCCAAATGACTGCTTTTGGCAACATCAGGGTCAACTGAATGGAGCCATGAGATATAAAGGTGCAAAAAGCTACTTTAGGTGGTACAGTATGCAGATGTCCCTTGATTGTCCAATAGACCTGTCTCTGTCATGGAAGACATCCAAACAAAAGCTGTCCTTTTTTCTCTGAAGATATTTTTTTGATGGTTAATTTTATGCATCAGTTTGGCTGGGCCACCATGCCCAGATATTTTGTCACACATTATTCTATACGTTTTTGTGAAGGGTTTTTTTAGATGAGATTAACATTTAATATCTAGACAGCATATTAAAATGCAGAGACGTGGCTTTGCTGATAAAGGTCTGAATAATCAAAGTGATGGTTTTTCCAGTAGTCATGGATGGATGTGAGAGTTGGACCATAAAGAAGGCTGAGTGCTGAAGAACTGATGCCTTCAAACTGTGGTGCTGGAGAAGACTCTAGAGAGTCCCTTGGACAGCAAGGAGATAAAAACAGTTGATCTTAAAGGAAATCAATCCCGAATATTCATTGGAAGGATTGATGCTGAAGCTCCAATACTTTGGCCACCTGAGCTCATTGGAAAGACCTTGAAGTTGGGAAAGATAGAGGGCAGGAGGAGAAGAAGACAACAGAGGATGAGCAGGTTGGATGTCATCACTGACTCAATGGACATGAGTTTGAGCAAACTCTGGGAGATAGCGAAGGACAGGGAAACCTGGCGTGCTGCAGTCCACTGGGTCACAAAGTGTTGGACACAACTTAGTGACTGAACACCACCACCAAACATCTAAGAAATATTTTTATTATTATTACTGTTAAAATTTTGGGGTGTGCTGGGTCTTCATTGCAGTGCACAGGCTTGGTTGTTGCTCCACGGCATGTGGGATGTTAGTTCCCCAACCAGGGATTGAACCCACATCCCTTGAATTGGAAGAGATTCTTAACTACTGGACCACCAGGGAAGTCCCAGATGAGATTAACATTTAAATCTGTGGACTTTGAGCAAAGTAGATTCCCTTCCACTGTGTGAGTGGGCCCCATCCAAGCAGTTGAAGGCCTTAACAGAACAAAAACTGACTTTCCCTGAGCAAGCAGGGATTCTTCAAACTAACTGCTTTAGGATGCTTTCCCTGAGTCTTCAGCCTGCCGGACTACCTCAGCAGATCTTGGATTCACTGTTTCCACAATCACTCTGACTTAATTCCTTAAGACAAACCTCTCTCTAATAGCACTGAAACATATATATTACCATATGTGAAATAGATCATCAGTCCAGGTTCAATGCATGAGACAGGGTGCTCAGGGCTGGTGCATTGGGATGACCCAGAGGGATGGGATGGGGAGGGAGCGGGGAGGGGGATTCAGGATGGGGAACACATGTATACCCATGGCTTATTCATGTCAATGTTTGGCAAAAACCACTACAATATTGTAAAGTAATTAGCCTCCAATTAAAATAAATAAATTTTTAAAAATGAAAAAAAAACCAAATTACTTATTCCTGCTTTTCTAAACAATTTCTTAAAAGATTAAACCTTTTATTGAAAAGGACAATATTGTCTGTTCCCATCATGAAGAAAAATAATACTGGTTTGTTTTATGCTGAGAAATATTTACTATGCTACTTTCCTTTCTAAAACTGTCCACATGACCTTCAGCCATTGTAAAATCAAAACATCTTATTAAATAAAACTTTAAACATATATAAAATAATATAGGAGGGAATAAAATTTGCTTTAAAAAACAAACAAACCCCTCTCTATATATGGTATTCTGTTGATGCTGTTTCTCTGGAGAAAGTGAAAAATTAAAGTGTTAGTCGCTTGGTCATGTCTGACTCTTTGCAACCCCATGGACTGTAGCTCACCAGGCTCCTCTGTCCATGGGATTTCCCAGGCAAGAACACTGGAGCCGGTTGCCACTTCCTTCTCTACAGCATCTTCACAACCCAGGGATCAAATCCAGGTCTCCAGCATGGCAGGCAGATTCTTTACCATCTGAGCCACCAGGGGGAACTCTGACTAATACAGATGCTTTTGTTAGTTTTTTGGAGGCCTCCACTGAGAATCTCTATGTATCTTTCGGACCCCATAAGACAGCCCCCAAGTCCCACCTCTGGGACCCTACTTGTAGCCTCTTTCTGGTGAGGTCCCTTTTCCCACCAACCGGCCAAGATTTGTCGAGGTTCTGTCACGACAGCCCTGCAACCCTCCCGAGGTGTGTAGCTGGCCCAGAGGAGACAGGAAACTGTCCTACTGTGGAGGGACAGGCAGTCTTCCTCCACTCTGCCGTCAGGGACAGCTCCAGTCTCTTGTCATCACATCCCCCTCAGGCACCACTTGGACACAGACTTGCCACCCAGACTCTAGGGGATACATTGGCAAGCGCCCGCGAGAAATGAGTTAAGCTGTGTCCCATGGTGGCGCTGTGGTGAGGGGGAGGCTCACTTGACCTGAGCTTGGTGAAATCCTTCGTTGAACCTTTAGGACTTCCCAAGGCGACCAGACATAGAGACAGTCTGTGGAAAAAGTTTCCCAAATGGTCCGGGGATCCCCACATAGAAAAAATGATTACTTACTGTGGAGCTGATTTCTCTGCATAAAACCAAAGACCCAGTTTAGCTTGATGGCTGGAAGCAGGCATCAGTGAGCAATAGGCCGAGGCATGAAAACCTGGGGAAAACAGAACCTCCAATACAGACTGGTTGAGTTGTAAAATGTTAGTCGCTCAGTCCTGTCCGACTCTGTGCGACCCTACGGACTGCAGCTCGCCAGGCTCCTGTCCATGGAATTCTCCAGGCAAGAATACTATAATGGTTGAGTGGTCAGTTAAAGGCTAAAACGTTTGCGAGGTTCCAGGCGCACAGCCGATACGTAACACAGTGCGCTGAAACTAAAGCAAGAAGACAAGAAAACTTACATTCCCGTCCAAGAGCTAGCACAGAAGTCTCCAGGAGGAAGCAGGGCAGACGTCACCTGTTGCGCTTGCTCCCTAAGCCCTGGAGGAGGAGGACCTAGATGCACTACGGTCAGCCGCGCCGCAGCGAATCAAGTGCGGTGTCTAGAATGGGGGCGGGACTTCCTTCGCTGCGCGCACGCGTACCTGCGTGCAAGCCCCGCCCCGGAACTGCGGCGGGAAGCTGCCGCGGCACGCCGGTGCTGCGTGTTTGGAGGCGTTTGGTGGGCGTCTGAGGGGGCCGCGGCCGGGTAGCCTCACGGTGAGTGCCGGAGCCGGAGCGGGCCTGGGGGCGGGCTCTCACCGCGGGCCCTCGGGTTCTCGGGACCAGAGACGGGTGGCCGCCGGCCTTGTCAAGTGCCCTGACCGACCCTGCCCTGGGGGCCTCTTCTAGGGCCTCGGAACCAGCCGAGCCGAAGTCAGGGCTCGGCTGGTTCGGCTTCTCCGCTTGGTGCGCCTGTTCGAGACCGAGACGAGGCGCCGGCGCCGGGCTAGGCTCCAGAAGGAGGGACCCCGCCGCTTACTCCATGAGTCACACTCCGCGTTCTCGCCCCGCTAGTGTCTGCCCCTCACGCCTCCTTCCAGTTGGTGAGGGGTGTCTGTGACCGCGGCGTCGCGGATGCGGGGCGGGGGTGGAACGCTGCGCGCTGGCGCGCTTTGCCCACCTGGCGCGATGCTAAGTAGTTCTGAACGTGCGTCACCTTTTCGTCTTTGCCTGTCAATCCAAGGAGCCGCAGCCCCTCATCATCCCCATTTTCCAGATGAGGAACTGAGGCTCGTGGTGATTAATAACGGCCATCCCAGACCTAAAGCTGACGAGTGGCGCGTCAAGGTTTTGAACCTAGGTCTCGCTTTGTTTTCCACGGAAGCTATGATTTTTCTCTGCCTTTCTGAAAAAGGGAAAACGTGGATCAAGTTCCAGTCAAACGAATTGTGCATCAGTGATTTTTAAATTACTTAAAATGTAATGATTAAAGCTGGTTGGGTTTTAAGTCACTTGGCAACAGCCGGAGTGGTGACGCAGGCATTTGACCTCTTGGGGTAAGATTTGAGAGGGAAGAAAGCTTTGTGCTTTCAGTAGAGCCGACCCCCCACGCACCCTCCAGCGACCCCCTCCCCCTTAGATTCTTATTCTGGCTTCAGAATGGCTTGGGTGTGGTAGGCTTCACCCTCCACGCTTTAGGTGTTTACTTGTTGCATAGAACATTTTGTGATTTAGCAGGTAAATCCCTCCCACCTTTTTAAAATATGAGAACTCTGAGGTTCAGAAAGGATTGAGCAGGACCTGCCAAGGGCACCCAGGCAGTAGGTATTGGGTCTGAAATCCAAACTCTATTTAGCTCGTCTGTCTTGGCTACACCTCCTGTGTCCTCTCTGTTGTAGGCCTAGCTGCATGCTCTTGGGTACATTTCTTCCCTTCTGTGATCTCCAGCTGGCAGCATCGGCGTTAGAGCCATCTTTGTGTCCTTACTTTTTTGTAAGACCTGATTGATAGCTGCTTAGGAAATATTTGTTGCCTCAGAATCCTTTGCTTCTCAGTTGCCAATCTAATGGAACATTTCTTTCCTTTTCAGCAGCCATGAAGTTGAAAGAGAAAAAATCAAGCCCGAAGCCAACAAACTCTGGCAGATTTCAGAAGAAGGGGATCAAAGTTGTGGGACAATGGAAGGAGGTGAAGATAGACCCAAATATGTTTGCGGACGGACAGATGGACGACTTGGTGTGCTTTGAGGAACTGACAGATTATCGGTTGGTCTCCCCTGCCAAGAGTTCCTCCAGCCTCTTCTCGAAGGAAGAGCCGAAGAAGAGAAAGGCACAGGCTGTTTCAGAAGGAGACGAGGAAGGAGAACGTAGCTCCTCAAAGAAAAAGATGAAGTTGAAGAAGAGTAAAGATGTGGAAACTGAAGGAACCAGTACCCAGAAAGCATTTGAGGTCAAAGATACTGAGCCAGTGCCCCAGGGAGAGGGCACAATTTGTCCTGATCCAGAGGTAGGGGAGATGGCATCAAAAAGCCCGGTCCAGACTGTACCAAAAAAGAAGAAAAAGAAAGGGAAAAAAAAGTCAGCGCCTTCCCAGGGTACTTCTCCAAAGGTGCCCAAAAAAGCGAAGACGTGGATGCCTGAAAAGCATGATCACAAAGCAGATGTATCGGCTTGGAAGGATCTGTTTGTACCCAAGCCGGTTCTCCGAGCCCTCAGCTTTCTAGGCTTCTCTGCCCCCACACCAATCCAAGTGCTGACCTTGGCACCCGCCATTCGTGACAAACTGGACATCCTTGGGGCTGCTGAGACAGGTGAGGGCATTCTTATCTGGCCAGGGCGAGATTGCTGCGGGACTGAGCTTGTGGCCACTAATAGGCTGGATGGTTGGGAGCCTGGGGAATGTTGGGAGCATGACCACAAAAGCACTGTTGCATGAAGACTTTAAGAAGTCAGCTAGCTCTTTGTTTTGAAATAGGTCACTTCCTGATTGGTGCCCTATGCAGGTCACTTTATTTCTCTCAGCCCTGTAGACTGTATTATCAAATGGAGATAGGTAAATTCAGTACCTACATCTTTTGCTCTGTGCTGTACTTAGTCGTTCAGTTCTGTCCGACTCTTTGCAACCCCATGGACTGTAGCCCTCCAGGCTCCTCTGTCCATGGGATTCTTCAGGCAAGAATACTAGAGCACGTAGCCCTTCCCTTCTCCAGGGAATCTTCCCAATCCAGGGATTGAACCTGGATCTCCTATATTGCAGGTGAATTCTTTACCACTGAGCCACAAGGGAAGCCCTTTTTGCTATGTGGGTTAAGTGTAAATGCTTACTAAATTTATACATTTTCATACTAGTAAACTGCTAACAAAGAACAATAGTAAACTAAAATTTACGCAGTACACTGTAAGTAATCTGTGAAAGTCACTCAGTCGTGTCCTACTCTTTGCGACCCCATGGACTATATACAGTCCATGGAATTCTCCAGGCCACAATACTGGGGTGGGTAGCCTTTCCCTTCTCCAGGGGATCTTCCCAATCCAGGGATCGAACCCAGGTCTCCCTCATTGTAGGCGGATTCTTTACTAGGGAAGACCAAGTGATCTGTAAATGGTAGTTTTTTTTGAATTCTTGAACCTTTTCTGCATGACTTGGGGGTAAAGTGGGACTAAGATCAGCCCTCTGGAGAGGTAGATCTTCATTAGTATAAAGAAGTGTCTAATTCTCAAGAGTTGTCTACAGATAAAAAGGGCTGCATTGGGAGTTGGTGGGTTTATTGGCATTGGAAGGTTTTGAGTGTGTGATAACCGTTGGGTAGATTTGTAGGCAAATTTGGGCAGGAGGTGACTGTCAGAACTAGGCATTGTTTAAAGATCCCTCATACCCTGGGCCATCTATGGCTTTGTGAAGCAATGATAGGTTGACACGCTGGGAGACTAAACTGCTGATGGGGGTAAGGAGCAAACAGACCTGAAACTGTTAGTCCAACTTGACCAACAGTAACCATTAGAAATACATATGTTATGCAAGCCACATGTGTAATTTAAAATTCCCTAGGAGCCATATTTAAAAGATATTTTACATTCTAATTTTTATACTATTTTCAAAATCTGATGTGAATTTTGAACTTGCCACCCATCTCAGTTTAGAGCAGTCGCATTTTAAGTGCTTGATAACTGTGTGTGGCTCAGTTTAGTTCAGTTCAGTCGCTCAGTCGTATCCGACTCTTTGAGACCCTATGAACTGCAGTACGCCAGGCCTCCCTGTCCATCACCAACTCCCGGAGTTTACTCAAACTCATGTCCATTGAATCGGTGATGCCAGCCAGCCATCTCATCCTCTGTCCCCTTCTCCTGCCCCCAATCCCTCCCAGCATCAGGGTCTTTTCCTACGAGTCAACTCTTCGCATGAGGTGGCCAAAGTATTCAGCTTCAGTATCAGTCCTTCCAATGAACACCCAGGACTGATCACCTTTAGGATGGACTGACTGGATCTCCTTGCAGTCCAAGGGACTCTCAAGAGTCTTCTCCAACACCACAGTTCAACAGCATCAATTCTTCTGCACTCAGCTTTCTTCACAGTCCACCTCTTACATCCGTACATGACCTCTGGAAAAACCATAGCCTTGACTAGACTGACTTTGTTGGCAAAGTAATGTTTCTGCTTTTTAATATGTTATCTAGGTTGGTCATAACTTTACTTCCAAGGAGTAAGCATCTTTTAATTTCATGGCTGCAGTCACCATCTGCAGTGATTTTGGAGCCCAAAAATATAAAGTCTGACACTGTTTCCTCTGTTTCCCCCATCTGTTTCCCATGAGGTGATGGGACTGGATGCCATGATCTTAGTTTTCTGAATGTTGAGCTTTAAGCCAACTTTTTCACTCTTCTCTTTCATCGAGAGGCTTTTTAGTTCCTCTTCACTTTCTGCCATAAGGGCGGTGTCGTCTGCATATTTGAGGTTATTGATATTTCTCCCAGCAGTCTTGATTCCAGCTTGTGCTTCTTCCAGCCCAGCGTTTCTCATAATGTACTCTGCATATAAGTTAAATAAGCAGGGTGACAATATACAACCTTGACGTACTCCTTTCCCTATTTGGAACCAGTCTGTTGTTCTGTGTCCAGTTCTAACTGTTGCTTCCTGACCTGCATATAGGTTTCTTAAGAGGCA